AGAGTGGTACAGATGTTCTGCATGTTTTCCTATTTTTTAAACTGCTCAATATGTTGCTCTGACAATGGAATATTTATTGGGACTTAGAACTCTATCAGAGTTCTATACTATATGTTCTATATGTTCTAGTTCTATACTAGAAACATAGTGTCCAATGAGATGAGTGATGCGTGAACACTGCCTGTGCAAAAGAGGAACAATTACAGAATTCTTATCAAAGCTGTTAATTTACTCAAGCAAAGTTGTTCAGTTCCTTATAAACATCTTTGGAATAGCAAGGTAAAAATACTTAGGTATTTCAATATCTCTGTGTACACATTACTCAGAAGTATCTCCATGCTGAATAAGAAAGTAGACTCTAATTAAGGTAGAAGTTGACATTTCTTAATGCTTTCCAGATTTGGAATGAAAAGGAATGAAAAATTCCTTTTTGAACTTCTTACATTACTCTGAAAATGAAACAACATGGTCCTTGAAGAGTTAAAAGCTAAAGTGGGTTTTGATTATTCATTTGGTTACTGCATGTATTAATTAAGGTAGGATAACCTAAAAGCCGATAGCTAGTTGTAATACACACAGATGCCAAAGACTACTTTACCATTGGCTGTTCAGTTTGATTCCCATAAATATGAGTGGAGCCTTCTCACACAGCTTATTTTCCAGTATTGTAGCAGAGCTGACTAAAAGGCTGACTCCTTTTCCCTAAAATTGACATTTCAGTGCATAATGAACAGTGTAATGAACTCAACAGTGTTTTTGGCTTCTACAGGTAGGAGATGAAATATAATAATGGGCTATGAAGGCCTCTTTGAAAAAAGAAAATCCTACTGGATAAAATTAACAACTTACTTTCAAATATAAATCTGAGAGTTGAGAGATCTTTCCTCAAAACTTCAATAGCAATTGCTATTTTACTTTATTCTTGCATATTTAAAGCTGCTACATAAATACTAACAAACTATTGCTCCAGCACCTCACAACACTGTGTTTGGGCTCTTTCCAGCTTTCATATTATAAGCTAGAAATGCAGAGGGTGGAAAAGATGGACGTCAGAATCTGTCTCAGTGGGTCTGTGCGATCCAGAGATACTGGGGGTTGCTGATCAGCCAAAGGAAGGTTCAGGCCTCAAACAGGATGTTCAGAGCTGGGATTAAAGGCAACACTTTCTCTTCTATGGCAAAATCTGGAGCTAAGGACAGGCTCAAAGGAACCTAATCCCTGACTAAGCACATGAGGGGCCCTGGTAGCCCAGCTGGTACAACAAAGTGCCCTGCAGCAAGCCAAACACTTCCAGCTTCTATCAGGAGTGTGGAATGTGACCATCCTGCTTTATGAGATCCAGTTTTAAGCCTATTATAGACTGACAGCAAAATAGTCTCTGCACTAAAACAAATTATGAAGTAATCCGAGCTGGTATCAGACATCTCATGTTTCTGTTTTTCTGCACTTACCTTTTGCTCTCTACCTCACAAGATAGTGAACAATAATTCAGTTAATTTGTTTTATGTATTCATTCCCTCCCTCTCAACTTGCATGTTTCAAACTTCACCATGGAGTACTGTACAAAGAGAAAAGAGAATTGGGATAGAAGTAAAGAGGGTCGGAAGGGAAAAACACTAATAAGTGATCTCCTCTTATTACAGCAGATTATTTAACTGTATATTATTTTTAGTTTTATGCAGAGCAAAGACTGCATCATGCTATTTCTCTGGATTATGCAGATTCTGAGTTTTAAATGGATAAAATACCCCCCCCTTGACAACTGACAGAAAAAAAAAATAATCAGCAGCAATACATTTTATCAGACCTCAATCACTGTACAAATTTCCTCTTTAAGTAAAGGTACCCTTTAAGCCCCTTTACAGAAAAAAAGAAAATTAAGAAAAGGGGTACAATAGAAGCCTAAAATACTATCTGGTTTAGTATCAAATCTGGAATCTAGAATGGCTGAATGGACATGTTTCTGTGTAACAAAATATGCTGGCTTTAAACTTACAGAAAGTAGATTTAGATTAGGTATAAGGAAGTAATCCTTCACTATGAAGTTCCAGTGAGGCCCTGGAACAGGTTGCCCAGAGAAGCTCCGTAAGTGTTCAAGGCCAGGTTGGATGGGGCTTTTTGCAACCTGGTCTAGTGGAAGATGTATCTGCCCTCAGCAAGGGGGGTTGGAACTAGGTTGTCTTTAAAGATCCCTTCCAGCTCAAACAGTTCTGTGAGTCTGTGATTCTGCTACACATGTAAAAGTTGACAACAGCACACACCTAAAAATCAACATAATCGGAGAAGCATCAGGTTGCACTTTTGAAAGGCTGTTACAGCAGCTCCCACATGAAATGACAAATCAAACCCATCATTTTCTTGTCTTGTGCCTTGGAGATACCACAAGTCCCTTCAATCACAAAATACAGAGTAAAATGAATAGTATCTTGCTGTCCAATGTGTCCTGATAACATGTGTTTAATGATGTACCTTAAATTTCAACATGGTGCTGAACTGTTACTGTTCACACATCTCCATTTCCCTCTTTACCATAACCAGGGAAGACAGACATGGCAGCAGTCCTCTCCCTGCAGTACATCAGTGTTTATTTACGTTTCTGGAAGAGCTCTTTCTTGAGTAGCTGGGAAGCCAAAAGTGGATACAGTCCATACACCGACTTCAGTCGTTTGTTTGCCGAATCCGCCTGGCAAAGTGTGACCGAAGGCTGCCCATTGTGCCCTGCTGCCCAAAGGGGCTGCTCTGAGAAATCGTGTTCCTTGCTTCCCTCCTCGCCCCCGTCCCCGTTAGGCAGCCGCGCCGGGCTGGCCCCGGGAACGCGGGGCAGGTAATGAAGAGCGCTCCTTGGCTCCCGGAGGGCCCGGCTCTGTCCCAGGGGTGGATTTACCAGTAGCTCGGTGATGGCAAATCTTCCCCTTGTCCTGGCGGGGGAGCCAAACGCCATCGATCTGTAGCCGGGAAGGTTGATGTGTTTTTTTTTTTTTTTTTTTTTTTTTCGGCTGTTTTTTTTT